CAACCATACAGACGCCTTCACACGACCATACAGACGCCTTCACACGACCATACAGACGTCTTCACACGACCATACAGACGTCTTCACACGACCATACAGGCGCCTTCACACGGCCATACAGACGCCTTCACACGGCCATACAGAAGCCTTCACACGGCCATACAGACGCCTTCACACGACCATACAGACGTCTTCACACGACCATCCAGGCGCCTTCACACGGCCATACAGACAACTGCACACAACCATACAGACGCCTTCACACAACCATACAGACGTCTTCACACAACCATACAGACGTCTTTACACAACCATACAGACGCCTTCACACGACCATACAGACGTCTACCCACGACCATACAGACGCCTTCACACGACCATACAGACGTCTTCACACGACCATACAGACGTCTTTACACAACCATACAGACGCCTTCACACGACCATACAGACGTCTACCCACGACCATACAGACGTCTTCACACAACCATACAGACGCCTTCACACAACCATACAGACGCCTTTACGTTACACAACCATACAGCCAAAGTTTCCATGACAATTCCGAAAAGACATCGACTTATCGCCAAAGAACAACATCATTCCTGGAGCTCGATGATTGCTCAGTATGCATCAACGGACGATAATAGGGCTGTTCTCTTATGAATGGCCAGTTATAGTAATGACCATACTAGACGTTATAAATGCTCATTAATATTTCTGATCTTCCACTAATTTGTTGTGTGCTTAGACCATAAGATATGTATGAGTTGTATGCCGCTTGTGGCATTCAAATCGTACGTGGAAATTCTGAATAACTTCATAACAAAATATTCACGGCACACGCTCACAAATTTGTTAATTAAATAAAAAAGCACCTTTATAATTTTCAAACTCTTCAAACTGTAAAAAAATTCTTCAAATATTGAGAGAAAATCTCGTAGAGTTTCACTCCATGTAGAAAGAAGACGTATATGCAGCAGAAACTGCCAATTGATCTTCATGCAGAGTTTACATTATGTCCTGGAGCAGGAATCGCTTGCTGTGCTGAAATGTGTGGGAAAAATTAGAATGACGGATAGCAGTCAATTGGAATTATTTCTACGATGCAGCACTAGCCTGGGACTGCTATGTCCCAAACAAATACTAAGGATACTATGTAGTTGATTGAAACCTCCTTCCATCAACAGTATTGCAGAATTAAATAAGCTCAGCGTGTTTGATGTGAACAGTAAATGTTACAGTAGCGTGAAATGATATTTTCGAAAGCCTGACTAAATCGAAAGCCTGACTAAATCTTTCATGCTACACTTTAGCTTCACTGAACAATTAATTTATTTCATATAACGTTAGCCGACTTACTTATGTTTACACGCATCAATTAAGTTAGATTCTGAACAGATGAAACATTTGTCGCAGTTTTCCACAATATGTTTGTCTTTGCTTCAATCCTCATGGGATCGCAGGTTGTCTCACTTACCCATAAAATTCAAGCATAACTGACAGCCGTCGCCAGGAAGTCAAATAACTCTACGGAGAGTACGCAATCATTCATCCTGAAACGTTGTTCTATTCTTATAACTTGCGCAGATTTATTCATTTATTTCCAGACTATGATACATTAAACTTGAAACTGGAGAGATCTATTTTTACGCCTTATTTAAACCTAAAATCTTGTCATAATATTATTGAAGAGTTTTTTCTGAGGTGAATTTTATTTGTCAGAAGACTTACTAACTAATTTTGCTAATAACCTATAGTGTTGTATCTCGTAGATGACGAGTGAAGTTTGCATCCCATATATCGGAGACATTTTATACTGACGTTACAATAACATTATCAGTAACGAATAACGATTACTTAATCTTGGTACGTAGATACCGTACTTAATTTGAAATACATGACGGAAGTTTAGGTTTTTTCAGCAATAATACTCGTAAAACCTTGCTAAAGTTATTTAGGTTATTAATGCAATAACTGGATAAACTATGTTCTATAACGTTCACACAGTTTCATTGAAAAACTTTTACAGCTTTTTCAAGACTCAAACAAGTTTACCGCCCATTCTTAACTTGCTGGCAAACGCGCCAAGTTTCATTAATAATGTGAAGTGACATCGAAGTTCGGAAAGTAAAGCGATTTTTATGCATGCATATACTACTCTTTAATCCTGATTTGCGTTTAAGATCATAATTTGCAAAGCTCCGATCAATTTAATCTTTCCATTATGGATATATCCTTAAAATTGAGGCGATCAGCACACGAAATTTTAACTTCAATTTCTTGAACCTTTCCTTTACTAACCTGCTATTAGGCGAATTCAAATCATCCTGCTCATACAAGGTAGAATACCTTGGGCTATAATCATGGCCCTAAATCAGATGCACTAAACTCTGCTGTCACCGGCTTACTCAGCCCAAGCATGAACAATGAGAATCTATTATTCCTGCCGGGAACAAAATCACGAACGTGAAACCTGGCTTTTTACCGCGCGGTAATGACGGCTCCTGGAATAGAATTTCGTGCGGAAGCCGTTCTCTTTAAGACCGCAAAACGCGGCAAAGTCTTTTAGTGTAATTGAATATACTAGGAGTTGGAGTAAACATAGAAGAATAGTGCGCATAACAAACTAGCGCAGAGGTTTGAATTTACAATGTTGGCTATGAACAGCGCTGCTCTAGCCGCGAGGATGTGAGAAATACCAACACATAAATGCAGGTATTCGTTTGCGTAATGACTTCTGTTATAAAAATTTGAGGACAACAATCAAACTTTACATATGCAACCAAACAACAATCAAACTTCATCTAAAAATCACTTATATCTCTTAATTGAAACCTTGGCGAACAGTATTCTGCAAATAAGAATTATTTGGCTCCACTGTGAGCATTCTTACAACAATCAATGCTGGCTTATAAAATATACATGCTGGCATATAAAATATATAATAATATAAAGGGCTTTTGAGCCCGTATCCAGGATACTGCTCGTGTCGGGATATTTCCTT